ACCCAGAGATACCTTGCAACAACAGCCTAATGATCTGCTCTGAAAGGGCACATCTGTTGAAAACCTAGCTAGCACACTTCTACCCTGACACACATGGGGTTGCCATGAGTCAGAACAGACTCAAAGGCAGCAGGTAAATTTGAAGAAATAAAAAATGTACCACCCAGAAAAAATTAACATTTGCATAAGATGAGTTTAAAAACCTATTATTTTTAAAAACAGAACAAAACCAAAATTCTTTATTTATAATCTTAAATTTACAAAGACCTGGGGAACACACTTTGCCTGTCTCAAGCTGAAAGAACTGAAGATAAATTTGAATTGTCAAGTTGCAATATTTAAGGATTCTATGGATAAAATATTGAATGATGCAGGAAGCACCAGAAGAAATTAGAAAGATTACATACAATTACTGGACCAAAAAGAATTGACTGCCTTTTCAGTAGTTCTGAAGGTTAAGTACGAGCAAGAACCAACGGTACTAAAGAAAGTCCATGCTGCACTGAACGTGAAAAACAAGACTCACGCAAGTGACAGAATACTAACCAAGATGGTGCAACAAATGGATGCAATGTTGTAAGTGCGCAATTGTCTATGCCAAGAAATTTAAAGACATCTACCTTGCCAACCAACTGGAAGAGATTCTTATTTGTGCCTATTATAAAGAAGGGTGACCCAACAAAATGTTGGAATTGTCAAACAATATCACTAATATCAAACAAGTAAAATTTTCATGTGGATAATTCAAACATAGTACACAGACAGGGAACTGCCAGAAATTTAAGTCATATTTAAAAGAAACTGTAGAATGAGTGATATCACTGTTGATATCAGATGAATCTTGGTTGTAAGCAGAGACTACCAGAAAGATGTTTCCTTGTGTTTTACTGACTACAAAGGTATCGAACTGGGTGGATCATAACAAATTATGGATAGCATTGAAATGAATGGAAATTCCAGTTCACTTAACTGTGCTCATGCAGAACCTGTGCCTACACCAAGATGCAGTAGTTCAAACAGAACAAGAGGATACTGCATGGCTTAAAATCAGGAAAGATGTATTACAGGACTGTATCATTTCAATATACTTATTAAGTATGTATGTTGAGCAGATAATCTGAGACACTGAACTACTGAAAAGGAACTTAGAATCAGAATTGAAGGAAGACTCATGAGCATTCTGTGATATGAAAATGATACAACCTTGATTGCTAAAAATGCCAAGACTTAAAATAGTTACTGAGAAAAATCAAGGACTTCAGCCTTCAGTATAGATTGTACATTAGCAAAAAGATTAAAAAATCCTCAGAGCTGGACCAGTAAGAAACTCATGATAATGGAAAAAATATTGAAGTTGTCAGGAACTTCATTTTACTTTGTTCCACAATCAACACTCAAGGAAGCAGCAGCTAAGAAATCAAACAACATATTGCATTGGACAAATCTGCTGCAAAAGATTTCTTTCAAGTATTAAAGGGCAAAGATGTCATTTTGAGGACTAAGGTGTGCCTGACCTGTACCAGGGTATTTTCAATCACTTCATACATATGCATAGGAAAGCTGAATAATGAATAAAGAAGACTGAAGAAGAATTGATGTCTTTAAATTATGGTGTTAGTCCATTGTCATTTGGCATAACATAGTCCACAAAGACGCTGTTCTACATCCTACTTTGGTGAACAGTGCCTGGACTCTTGAAAGCTCATGGTGCAACTATTGGTATCTCCATGTACGGAGTAAGGAAGAGTGATGCGAACTGAAGTTGCTTGGAATCAATTAGTCCAAAAGACTAACAGGACAAGTGAACATCAATCTCTACAACTCTGAAACCAGAAGAACTAGACAGTGCCTGGCTACTACTACCAACTGCTCTGAAAGGATCAAATTAGAATGTCCTGGATAGAGTAAGAGAAAATGTGGGGAGAAAAAACCTCAAAATTATAAAAGAAGACTAGGCTTACTTATCAGAAAAAGATTTCAGGAAACAGAGACTACAATCCTCAACAACCCTTGCATCTTGTGGTCTAGAAAGGAATTCAAACTTGTGGCCCAAATTTCAGCCAAGGGATTGTTGTTGTTGTTAGGTACCATTGAGTCAAGGCCAACTCATAGCGACTTGATGCACAGCAGAATGAAACACAGCCCAATCCTGGGCCAACCTCACTACTGTTGCCACGCTTGAGTCCACAGATGCTGCAACTTGGCCAATCCATTTCGTTGGGGGTCTTCCTCTTTATCTCTGACCCTCCACCTTACCAAACATGATATTCTTCTCCAGTGACTAGTCCTTCCTGACAATGTGTTCAACGTATGGGAGATGAAGTTTGGCCATCTTGACCTCCAAGGAGCACTTTGGCTGCACTTCTTCCAACACGGATCTATTGGTTCTTTTGGCAGCCCATGGCACTTTCAATATTCTCCTCCAACACCATAACTCAAAAGCATCAATTCTTCTACGGTCTTCCTTATTCACTGTCCAGCATTCGCATGCATATGAGGTTATTGAAAATACCATGGCTTGGGTCAGGTGCACCTTAGTCCTAAAGCTGACATCTTTGTTCTTCAACGCTTTAAAAAGGTCTTGTGCAGCAGATTTGCCTAAAGCAATACGTCGTTTGATCTCTTGACTGCTGCTTCCATGAGTGTTGACAGTTGATCCAAGAAGAATGAAGTCCTTGACAACTTCAGTCTTTTCTCCGTTGATAAGAATGTTATTTATTGGTCCAGTGGTGAGGATTTTTGTATTCTTTACATTGAGATGTAATCCATATCGAAGGCTATGCTCTTTGATCTTCATCAGTAAACGTTTTAAGTCTTCTTCACTTTCAGCAAGCAAGGTTGTATCATCTGCATATCACAGGTTTTTAATTAGTCTTCCTCCAATCCTGATGCCACATTTTTCTTCACATAACCCAGCTTCTCAGATTATTTGCTCAGCATACAGGCTGAATAAGTATGTTGAAAGAATACAACCTTGTTCCACACCTTTCTTAATTTTAAACCATTCATTCAGTGTTCCCATGTTCTGTTTGAACAACTGCGTCTTGGTCCAGGTACAGATTCCTCATGAGTACAATTAAGTGTTCTGGAATACTCATACTTCACAATGTTGTCAATAGCTTGTCATGATCCACAGAATTGAAAGCCTTTGCATAGTCAATAAAGCACAGGTAAACATCTTTCTGATATTCTCTGCTTTCAGCCAAGATCCATCGGACATCAGCAATAATATCCCAGATAGATAGCGGAAGAACAACACTAGTAAGGTTTGTTCACTATGGAATAGTCAATCATTCAAAATCAAAAGGGCAACATTTCCCTAAGAATACAGTTGAGAAGAGAGAGAAGAGATGGGAAGGTGGGTGGAATGGAAACAGGAACCACAGGAGGAAGTGGGATCACTGCTTCTGCCTGGGGGAGAGTGCAGTCATTGAGATGAAACAAAGGGGAGGATTTGTTGAATGTAAAACTGATGATCTGGTCTGTAGACCTTCACTCAGTTTAAAATAAAAAGTTAAAAATTATGGTGTTAGTAAAAAATACTGAATATACCATGGACTTCTAGAAGAACAAACAAATATGTTTGGGAAGATGTACAGCCATATTTCTCCTTAGAAGTGAGGATAATGAGACTGTTTCTCACATACTTTAGAACTGTTATCATCAGGGACCAGTCCCTGGGGAAGGAGATGATGCTTAGTAAACCAGAGGGTTAGTGAAAAAGAGGAACACTCTCAATAAGATGGACTGACACAGTGGCTGCAACAATGGGCTCAAACAGATCAACAATTCTGAGACTAGGGAAGGACCAGATAGTGTTCTGTTCTGTTGTCCAAAGAATCTCAATGCATTGGAATGAAGTAAATGGTACCTAACAACAACAACAATCATAAATCCAGTGGTATAATGTTTTCAACTGTATGACTGGGTTATTTTGTTTTGTAATCTGGGAAATGAAACTTTAAATAGAATCAATTATACACACACACATCTACAAACACTACTCTAACATTTCTACATGTGACAACTGTCAGTAAATATAAGTCGAAAAACAACCTTTGAACACATTATTAGGTTTAAACTACCTATGGCTGTAGACAAAGCTATTTGGATTCTAGGCATTTTACCTACATTTAGGATGCTGTAGCGTAGTGGTTATGAATCGGGCTGTGAACCATAAGGTCAGCAGTTCGAAACTACCAGCTGCTCCGCGGGAGAAAGATGAGGCTTTCTACTCCCGTAAGGATTTACACCCTCAGAAACCCTGTACAGGGTCCCTATGGGTCGGAACCGACTCGAAGGCACTTAACAACAACAACAACACTAAACTGACAAGGTACTCTGACCACCCCTTGTAACAATTTGAATTGCTTTCACTGTGCCAGCACTCACATGTTGTTGTTGTTAAGTGCCGTCGAGTCAGTTCCGACCCATAGCAACCCTGTACATGGTTTCCGAGGCTGTAAATCTTAACAGGAGCAGAATGCCTCATCTTTCTCCCGCAGAGCGGCTGGTAGTTTCGAAAAGCTGGCCTTAAGGTTCGCAGCCCGATTCGTAACCACTATGCTACCAGAGCTACTCTAGATAATCTTGTGCAGACTCACTGGAGTGTCTGCCAAAGAAATGAAGCCCTGACATGGTAAAGTCACTCTTAATAGTGACAACATCTTGAGGTAGGCTGGAATGAGAGGGTGGAATGCTTTGACTAAATGTGAGGTAGGAAGACAATGAACTGAAAGGGAAATATCGAATTTTTCATTAAAAAGCATATAACATAATAACAGGGGTAAAAAGGAAAATTAATCCTTTCCATCGCTCCTCCACACTACGTTAGAGAATGATAAACATATAAAGTTTATGGAGTAAATCTATCCTTATAACTTTATTTGAGGATGAGAGGGAAATAGACCAATGAGATTTCTATATGTAGAACATAGGCCATCCTTCTCATAGTGCACTTCCCCTGACAACCAATGAGCAGTAGGTTGCCACCCCCTTACCAGAGCCAGGCTGCGTTTTTTTTGTACTGCACCTCTTGAAGGCCTTCTTTTCCGTGCTTTAACTGTAACTCCAGCTCTGCCATTCGTCCCTGGAAAACAGAGCATCAATCAGCATGCACACCCTATGGCAGAAATCATCGTAACTTTTCTTGCCAAAACACTTAGAACATGTATTCTTTCCCTACTGGCCTCTAGTGTCCTGATGGGGCAGTAGATTATGAACGGGGATATTTGAAAGAAGAAAATCACATCACTGCTCAAGGCCTTCTCTATTTACCAAAGAAATGATGCCTGGGAAAGTTGTATATTCAGCAAGTTTAGAGCAGAAGCCTTTGAGATTATCTACTAAAACAGATTTCAGTATCACAGGCCCCATTTTAAAAATCACCGAATGGTGCCAGTTTACATTCCCATTGCAGTAAATAAAAGTTGTGGGTACTTCAAGTCCTCACCAATATTTTGAATTGTTAAGATCTTTGTCAGGTTTAAATTGATATCTCAATAAACTTTTAAATTTCATTTCATAGTTTACTAATGAGATTGATCACTGTTTCACATACTGAATGACTACTTGAGTCACCTGTTCTGTCTACTTTCTAGATTTTTTTTTTCTCATTTTATAATCTTACTGTGTGTTCTATGGAAGAAGAACATGTATCTCCATTCTCTAGAGAAGAAAGTAATGCATCTTAAAGGGTTAAGAATGTGGGCTTGACATCCAGCTAATAAAAAGTGAGTGCATATTCACAAGAACACCCACACTTGCAGAAAATACCCACTTGACCTGGCTTCAATGGATGGATGATCAGAACTCAACTAGAAGAAGAAAAAAGAGTAATATGATACAATTTGATGAATTTGACCTACACCTATGGATGCAATAACTCAAAAGAGGGAACAAATCTTTACAGCGAGGATCACTCCCACCCCCTCGATACACAGGATAGACAGGGATGGGCAACTTGGACATTGGCGATCCAAAATGGAGGGCCGCAAAGGCAAGAAGTGACTGGCTTACAAGCTTTCAAGAGGGAACCTAGATCCAGAGAGTGTGGAGGAAGGTAGAATCTCTACTAAGTAGTATTCAATCTGTTTGGGTGAGGCTGATGAAAGGAGATGGGGATGGGTGTCTTGTGGCACAATAGTGAATAATTGTTATCAGGACTGACTGTGAGGGTTGGAAATGTAAAGGTAGACATTTTGTAGCAAAAGGAGGGGAGTGGTTGACTTTGAAGTCCAGGAGTAGATGTCCCTGGGACCATCAAGGGAGAACAGTGGAGTGTGGGACCCTACCCAGAGAAGCAGTGATGCCAGAGATGGAGGTAGAGACGATGATGTGGAGAGATGGAACGGCTGGGGACTCTAGACCCAGAGGGGGAGAGGGGCTTTGTGCTGACTACCAGTGTGCAGGCCTGCAGGCCTGCAGGGTATACCCTCTGGCTGGTTGATGATGCATGAAGGGGATTGTAATCATGGCAATGAAACGATATATGATAGGATGAATGTAAAGCTAATGCTCTCCCATGTAGCCTATCTCATAATTCACAATAAAATATTAAAAAACAAAAGAATGTGGGCTTGAGAGTCAGACTCCCTTCCTCCAATTATATTTCTACTTATTATGTGTGCAAATATTGGCTTTCTAAGTTTCAGTTTCCTCACTGCAATCTCATGGTATTGTTGCGGTTGTTGTCAAGTGCTATCGAGTCTGTACTAACTCATAGCAACCCTATATACAGCAAAACAAAACACTGGCATAGTCCCACGCCAACCTCACAATTATTGCTATGTTTGAGCCCACTGCTGCTGCCACTGTGCCAATCCATCTAGTTGGGGTCTTCCACGTTTTCTCTGACCCTCCACTTTAAGAGATATGAAATCCTTCTCCAAGGACTGGCCCCTTCTCACAATATGTATGAATTATGAGAGTCAAAGCTTGGCCATCCTGGTTTCCAAGGAGCATTCTGGCTGTACTTCTTTCAACAAAGACTTGTTTGTTCTTCTGGCAGTCCATGGTACTTTCAGTATTCTTCTTCAATGCCATAACTCAAATGCATCACTTCTTCTACAGTTTTCCAACTTTCACATGTGCATTAGGTTATTGAAAATAATGTGGCTTGGGTCAGCCACACGTTAATCCTCAAACTGGCATCTTTGCTCTTGAACAGTTTAAAGAGGTCTTGTGCAGCAGACGTGACTAATGCAATACGTAACTTGATTTCTTGACTGCTGCTTCCATGAGCATTGAAGGTTGATCTGAGCAAAATGAAGTCTTTGACAACTTCAATCTTCTTCATTTATATGGATATTGTTTACTGGTGCAGTGGTGAGGATTTTTGTTTTCTTTACATTGAGATGCAACCCATACCGGAAGGCTAGGGTCTTTGATCTTAATTAGTAATATTTTAAGTCCTTTTTATTTTCAGCAAGCAAGGTTACATCTTCTGTATATTGCAGGTTGTTAATGAGTCTCCCTCCAATCTTGATGCCACATTTTTCTCCATATAACTTCTTGAATTTTTTGCTCAGCAAAAAATACAACCCTGGGACACACCTTTCCTAATTTAAAACCATTTGGTGTACCCTTGTTCTGTAGCACAACTGCCTCATTGTCTATGTGCAGGTTCCTCATGAGCACAATTAAGTGTTCCAGAATACTCATTCCCAACAATGGTGTCCATAGCTTGTCATGATACACACAATCAAAAGCCTATGAGTAGCCAATAAAGCACAGGTAAACAGCTTTCTGATATTCTCTGCTTTCTGCCAATTTCCATCTGATGTCAGTAATGATATCCTTCATTTCAGGTTGTCTTCTGAATACAGCTTGAATCCCTGGAGTGCTCTGTCATTGTATGGTTGCAGTCAATTAGCAAAATTTTACTAACATGTGATATTAATTATATTGGCCAATGATTTCCACATTCCATTGGGTCACCTTTCTTTGGAATGGGTACAAATATGGATCTCTTCTGTTAGTCAGGTAGTTGTCTTCCAAATTTCTTGGTATTGATGAGTAGTATTAGAGTTCACATTAAGGCACATTGTAAGGCATTTATTCTAACATAGTGCCTCATGAAAAACTTTAACTATCATTGTTGCTAGGTGACATGGAGTTCATTCTGACTCATAGAGACACTATCTACAACAGAAGGAAACACTACCAAATCCTGAGACATCCTTACAATTGTTGTCTGAGTCCATTGTTTCAGTCCCTGTGTGAATCCATCTCACTGAAGGTCTTCATCTTTTTTTTATTATTCTCTACTGTATCAAGCAAGGAACTCTGGTAGCATAGTGGTTACAAATCGGGCTGCCAACCTCAGAGTAAGCAGTTAAAAATTACCAAGTGTCGCGCAGGAGAAAGATGAAGCTTTCTGTTCCTGTAACGATTTATAGCCTCGGAAAACCCGTACAGGATTGCTATGAGTTGGAACCAACTTCACGGCACATAACCACCACCACCACCACTGTATCAAGCATGCTGTTATTCTCCCGGGACTGGTCCCTCCTGATAACATGTCCAAAGCCTTGCCATCATCACTTCTAAGTAACATTCTGGCAATACTTCTTCCAAGGCACATGTTTGTTTTTCTGGCAGTATATGGTATGTCTTATATTCTTTGGCAATACCGTAATCAAAGGCTTCAATTATTCTTTGGTCTTCCTTTATTCATTATTCAAGTAAAATGAAATCCTTGACAATTTCAGGTTTTCCTGTTCATTGTGATGTGTTGCTTATTGATCCTGGTGTGAGGATTTTTGTTTACTTTACATGAAGTTATAATCCTGTAGTCTTTGACCGACATCAGTAGCACTTTAAGTCCTCTTCACTTTCGCAGTCAAGGTAGTGTCATTCTTGTATAATAGGTTGTTAATGAGTCTTTCTCCAATTCTGATGCCTATTGTTTTTTCATATAGTCCAATTTCTCAAATTATTTGCCCAGTATACAGACTGAATAAGTGTGGTGAAAGGAAATAATCCTGAGACATGTTTTCTGATTTTAAATCAAGCACTGTCCCCTTGCTCTGCTCAAATGACTGCTTCTTGATCAATGTACAGGTTCGATCTGAGGACGATTAAGTGTTCTCAAATTTCCATTCTTTGCAATGCTATCCATAGTTTATGATCTACATAAACACCTTTGCATGATCAATAAAATGTAGGGAAACATCTTTCTGTTATTCTCTGCTTTTAGACAAGTTCCATCTGACAACAGTTATCATTACTAGGTCAATAACCAAAACTCTCCAATTCTTTCATCAAATAATAATTCACGAATATATCAAACCCATTCCTGAATTACTAGAAATTTTTAGTCTGTATAATCTCATAAAACACAAAGTTCCCAAAAATGTAATATATGAAATGATATACCCTTGTGTGTCTCAAATACATTCTCAGTTAACCTCTGAGCTCAATGAAGGCAAGGACTGTTTTATTAGTTCAGAGTCTAATATTTAGCACAACTTCTGGCACAATATGGACAGTGGTTCATTAGTTCAGGCATTCTAAGACTGGATAAGCACTCTACTCACATCCTTCATAGTTTGCTTTTACGTCAATCATATCTATCTCTTTCTCCAAACTTTCTAAGATAACATCCTGACCCTTTCGCTCTCCTCTCTTTTAGAGCAAAGTAGTAGAGGTGATCAAACTAACAAAATGCTGTTGCTGTTATTAAATGCCATTGAGTCGGTTCGATATAATATTTAATGTTAATATTGACCTCTCAGGAGGGTAGACAAAATAGAAAATAATTTTCATTGCCTGTCTCTAGTTATATTTCTTAAATTTACCTCTTAATTACTCCCATAATGCTTTCATAAAAAAGACAAGGGACAGGAAATTAAAAGGTTAAAATCTACTCAGAAATAAAGAAAACATAGGAAAGCCAGTATATACAGACGCTTGATAAGATCTACTTCTCTAATCTCCCCTCTATTCTTAAGCAGTACAACCCTTCTTTTGAGACCAAGTAAACTTCTTATTGTTTTCTTCTTTGAGTCTTTGTTCCTTTCAATCCCCTCTTCTGGAATGTCTTCCTAATCCCTTCCACCCAGTTCACTTTAGGCTATTTATTCAGAC